TATCAATAATAATAACAATGGAAGAAATAAAACAAATTGAAAAAAAAAATCATATTACGATTTAATTGATATAAAATATTAATAATTTTATAATATTAAATAAATCATAAAATTAATTTTTTAACTTAATCCACTTTCACATAATTATTAGGACGAATATATGTATGCTAATAAAAAGTTTAAAGGAAATGTATATGATAGGATAGTTGAGCGGAAATCGTTCCAATTGCATTCAATTACTTACACGCTGAACCAAACACAATGCTTAGAGATGAGCATGTGTGAGCATATGTGAGCATGTGAGCTAATGTAAGCTCGCTGAGCGATCGGCTGTCCGTATACACTGACTTTGCGTTTCTTATGCAGTTGTAATTTCAATCAAAGGAACACAGTGTCTATATTAAACATTATCATATTTAATTTATTTCCATTTGAAATTTAAACGCACAAACTGTAAATATGCCACAATACACAGGTACTTATATATTTTATATTGAAATATTTATTATTATCTAACCTCATAAAAGACATGCAACAATTTCCTTTATTCTTTATTAACTTTTATGACCGTCATTATTATCATTTGGTCATTTTGATTATAGTTAAAGTTAAATGGGGCAAAGAGCTTTATCCTAATGTTGAAGTTAACACGGATGAGGAACCAATGTTATTTAAAGCTCAACTTTATGCACTAACAGGAGTACAACCAGAAAGACAAAAAGTAATGTTAAAAGGAATAACGTTGAAAGATGATTGTTGGGGGAATATTGGTTTGAAAGATGTAAGAAGAACAATGTACATCTGTTATTATTTATTCATTCATTTAATATCTTTTATATGGTTATTTACCTTTTGTAATAAATAGGGTGTTACTGTATTAATGATGGGTTCCAAAGAAGAGGATGTACCAACAGAACCAAAAGAAAAACCTTTGTTCTTGGAAGATATGAATGAATCTGAATTGGCTACCGCATTAGATTTGCCAGCTGGTTTGGCTAATCTTGGAAATACCTGTTATCTTAATGCAACCGTACAATGTCTTAAAACTGTACCAGAGTTAAGAGAAGCTTTAAAAAGTTATGCCGGCACCATAACAAATATTGCAGGTTCTTCTCATACGTTTGCACAGAACATAACTGCCTCTTTAAGAGATCTTTATGACAATATGGATAGAGGATCGCCCTTTCCACCTCTTATACTTTTACAAATGATGCATGTAGCTTTTCCAAGATTTGCTGAAAAATTTGAACACGGTGTTTTCCAACAGCAAGATGCCAACGAATGTTGGACCGAACTTGTCAGAATGCTTCAACAAAAACTACCCGCTAAGGTTATAAATATATATATTTTCCATCAATATTTTTCGTTAAAATATATATTTAAATGAACTTATTACTGATATAATCACATTACCAAAAGGCAAATCCAGATGCTGTGGAGGATGATCCTCAAGCTTATAAGCCTCGATCACTGATAGAACAATACTTTGGAGGAACATTCGATACAGAATTGAAATGTATTGAATCGGAAGATGAATCGCCTACTAAAGGAAAGGAAGAATTTTTACAATTGAGTTGTTTCATTTCAACGGATGTCAAATATATGTATTCTGGTCTAAGAAATAAAATGCAAGAACAAATTACAAAAATGTCTGAGAGTCTTGGGAGAGATGCATTGTATACTAAAACGGTAAAATATAAATTTGACATTACTATAATATTATATATTCTCATTTTGTAGATTTTTATAAACGATCAATTATTTGTTTATATTTTCAGTCAAAGATTAATAGGTTACCAGCCTATTTAACTATTCAATTCGTTCGATTTTTTTATAAAGAAAAAGAGGCCATTAATGCAAAAATTTTAAAAGATGTTAAATTTCCATTGGAATTTGACGCATTTGAGTTGTGCAGTAGCGAACTTCAAACCAAACTTACACCGATGCGTGAAAAATTTAAAAAATATGAAGATAGCTTGATAGAAGAAGCTGCCAAAATGAAAGACAAGAAAGATAAAAGTGATGAAAATAAACCAAAAATGAAAGATGAACAATTTTGGTTTAAAAATGGTAAAGAACAATATACATATATATTTTTTTAAATATAGATTTATCATATAAAGTTGATTAAAAATATTATGTTTTATTTATAATGTTTATAGATTTAGGATCCAATAATAGCGGTTATTATACATTACAAGCAGTTTTAACTCATAGGGGTCGATCAAGTAGTAGTGGACATTATGTTGCATGGGTTCATCAGAAAAATGATACATGGTTGAAGTGTGACGATGACACTGTTAGTATTGTTACTAGTGAAGAAGTATTAAAGCTTAGTGGAGGTGGTGATTGGCATTGTGCATATGTTCTTCTATATGGTCCACGAATCTTAAAAGTACCTGAGACTGAGACAAAGATATGTGATGCGTCATCTATGGAATAAGTAGCAGTCTATAAATAAACAATTTCTTTGGATATAATTTTCCAGAAACAAAACAACCAACAGATATCCGCAGTGAAAAATGTGGATTTTGTACGCTGATTTAAATATTATCTTAAATATGCTGCTATCCTATGTATAAATGATTCATGGTATACGCAAAAAAGTAATTGCAGCATTAATTTCAAATAAAATATGAAATTACTGAGGACAACAAACTGCTATGCGGTTATTTCTATATAAATGCATATAATCGTGATATTAATAAATGCATTTTTCTTTCTTTTTATTTTTTCATTTATTTTCTTAAGATCATTTATATGACTTGTTATCTTATAAACTAATCAAAAAGTATTTACTTACTTCGCAACGTTCTTGTGTTATTTTAAAATGTTATAATTAAATGATCCGAACGCATATATTTCATTGAAAATGATTTCGGGTCGATATACTTTTACAAACTGCTTTATAAAGTTGTAACGAAATAAAGCTTTCACACAAAGAACATATTATTGTGTACTTTAGTTTTATTCATTTCACAAATAAAATACTAATTGTAAGAAAAATTTTATATCGAACTTGCCGCCAAATCAAATTTAAAAATCGATTATCACGTGACTTTGAATCGATAAGTGTGTAGACCAATAAGAATGCGTCCTTTTTTTAAAACGTAACCACATGGAGATTATGACATGTTAAACATTAAATAATATTTATTGGAGTATTGACAAAAATTTGATTTGTAATTAATTTAATAAAAGAATATAAATTGTAATACAAAATGCAGATACGAGAAAATGTAGAGATGCTTGAAAAGATGAAAAGGGAGAAGGATGCACGTGAAGATGTGATGCAATTGCATCGAGCAAAAATGATGGAAAAAGCTGATATTTTACGATCAGTACGACTTTTACATATCGATCGTAGAAAAGCCGAAGAAAAGGAAAAACTTGTTCGTTTTCAAGAAGCTAGCGATTTACGAAATCGACAAATCGAAAGGGCTCATAAATTAGCACAGGAATTAGCACGTCTTAAAAGTAAAATTTGTATGCATATGTAAACATGATTTATATTATGAAAATGTATAACAAATAATCTCCAAAATTGTTTATCGATATACCAAATATTATATATATATAGTTTATTTCATTTTATATATTTATTATTATAAATTATATAATAATATATCGATATATTTAGTGGGGTAGAATTTTGTATTCGAAATTGGCGCCACTTGTGAGTAAAAGCGCCAATTTTATGAGATTTAAAATTTGCAGGTAAAGAAGCGCGGGAATTACGTGATTTGAAAAATAGAAAACAAATCTCACGATTTCCTACAGCTTGTTCTCTCGTTGATTTAAAATCGCGATTAATTGAAGATACGATTAAAAAAGATTCAGAATCTTTTGAAATCGTTCAAAAATGGTATTCCTACGATTCGTTCGATAAAATGGAATTGGCAAAGTTGGAAGAAAAGAAACGACTTTATTGTGCCGATTTGCAGAATCAAATTATTGAAAAACGTCGTATAATGCGAGAATTGGATGAAGAGAAGCAACGTGAACGTAAGATAATCGAACAAACGATGGAAGTTATAAACGATGAAGATATTCGTAAAGAGGAACGTAGAAAAGAAATTCAAACGTGTTTGCAAGCTGAGAGAAAAGCTTTCTTTGAAGCGAGACAATGCTGGAAGGAAATACAAAAAATTACGATTGAAGAAGAAAATAAAAAAATTGCTAAGGCTATTGTTGAGAAGGAACTCGAATATAAAAAGCAAATGAAGAAAAAAGTAAATGCACTGAGTTTATAGTTGATTTTATCATATTGAAAAAATAACAACAAAACTAAAAGATATTATTAAAAGCACAAACACAATATTTCGTTTAATATTTTTATATTATTACAGAGTGACATCGATGCTGTAAAAGAAATGACGATAGAAACTATTGCGAGAAAGATGTTAGACGAAGAAATCAAAATGAAAGAAAGAGAAGATATTTACAATGAATTGTATTTAGAAAATAAGAAAGTCGAAGAGGCTAACGAATCTTTAAAATTAGCTTCAGAAAAACGACAACAAGCTAAAGAACTTTTGAACGATATGGTAAAATAATTATTTTCTTTTGTTTGCTTTATACAGTAAATTTTTATAAAAGCAATATCCTAAATTTTTAATTGTTTGGGTCGCAACGAATGTCAAGAGGAATTTTTTTGGGCTGCATACAAATAATAAAAAAATAAAAATAATTAATACATATATAGTAAATGTATGTACCATATCATATTTCAGTATAAAATTTACTTTTTTCTCTTTCCTTTTCATAATTAAATAAATGATGATAGTCGATTAAAGCTATCACGAGAAATTTAAATTGGTATGCGAGTTGGACACCACTTTGCTCTTTACGCTTTTAAAAATATTCAATTAACCGTTCTCTCTGATTACATACAGGTAAGAAGTAAAATCGCTAACACCGAGAAAAAAATGGAAGAACGAGCGACGGAAATGGCTTTTACGCGTAATCTTTACGAGGAACAACTAAAACTCGATGAGATAGATAAACAAAAGCTAGAACAGAAACGACGAAAGAGTATATATAACATTGGAATTAATTATAATCTTCTCTTATTTTTATCACTGATTATTATTATATCGAAATTATACGTTTTCATTTTAGATAAACAATATGGCGAAGACTTGAAAAACATTATAATGAATAATAAAATTCAATATGCCGTAGATTTATTGAAGAAACAAAAAGATGTTCGGGATGAATGCGTAGACAAGTTATGACGTTAATAATAAATTATATAATTAATTGGAAAAATATATAAGAAAAAAGAGAAATTGAGAACGTTGAGAATATCAACGTTTATCAATAATTCATATCGTAATTTTTATATTAATTCTTTAACTTTACACAATACAGAAAAATTGTTTAAATTATGAATGATAACTAATGTAAGGTGTCAACATCCTCCTTAAAAATTATTTCAAAAAAATGTATAGTACAGTAAAGAATTAGCTGAATTGTATCATTTAATTACTGTAAAAGTGATGTCGATATTTTCATTACTTTTTTGAGAAAACAAATTGTAGCAGTTAATAATTCGAATCATCCTAAATACTAAAATAGATTATCCAATAAGAAAATTTAAAATTGTACTAGACCTATATTTATTTCGGGAACACAATAAAAATATCCAACTTTTCGCCTATTATTTATTAGTACATAGGTATATATATACACGTAGCGCGGAAAGGTATCACCTTTACAGCATTTGTTATTTGTACAAAGTCCGTGTAAAAATACAGCAGCCCCATCTTATATAGATTAATAGTATTCGATAAATTTTATAAACGGATGCAGTCTTGCCTCGTTACTCTTTCTCGTTGTCTTTGTTCTTTGACGAAAAATCGAATCGATAATAATTATTTTTATTTTTATTTTTATTGTTCTTCTTCTTCTTCTTCTTCGATTTTTTAATGATTCGATCGTCAAAAAACAAAAAGAAAAATAATTCCAAAATAAGAAAAATTAAAAGAAAAAAGAATATAACGAGACGAGGAAGACCGCTCGAACGTTTTGGATGATTGATTCCTAAAAATTATGGAACTTCATTTTAAAATTTATTTTGTTCAATGTTAATAGTTTTAGTGTTGTCATGTTTAGGCGTGCGAATTATTGATTAACTCTCTATAACTCGCATCTTGTTTACTATAAAATTATAAAAAGAATGTTTGTAATTTGAAATCGACAAATATCAACTCCCTTAATACAAATGAACAATTAATTAAGTCATTTTTAGAAACATTTTACTAATTATCAAAGAGATAAATTCTAGAACAATATGTTTACGCAATATTAGAGAACAAAATTTAATTACATTTAATTGAAATTTTGTTTGTCACACGAGAAGAACTATAGAGAGTTAAACAAAATCGAAAATGGTAATAAAAAAGAACAAAAAGAAAAACCGTGAGAAAAATCTAACTTAACTTCTCCGATATACACACATATAACGCATCGTGTAATTGTTAATAATATTTTTTTGTTCTTTTCCAAGCGAGACCGAGAAAAAACAACACACACACAAGAAGCTAAACTAATAAGAATTTTCTTTCGTCTTTTTTTTTTTTTAATCAACACTTTCAAATCTTTTTTCCTTGTTTTTTCTTTTTCCCTCATTCGCATTTATAGAAGTGTCCTCCATTAATACCGATATGCCACGAGTGATTAAATCTACGACGACTGTGTTACTACGTGAAATTTTTTCAACACATTTATAAGTCTCTGGGCCCCCTATTATATATCTCTACTAAAAATTTACCGATTATTACAATAATACAATACGCTCGGTTCCTATCCGCATTATTTCTAACAACACACGCAAAATTCAACGAATAAAGCGAATCACACGGTCTCTCCATTCGTGTGATTATCACGTGAAATATTTATCACCGTTACACGATGCACCAAACTTGGACTTCTTTTTCTTTTCTATTTTTTTTTTTTTTTTCATTCTTCCTTCATATCCCGTGTTTTACCCCCATCCCCTTTTTTTTACCTTTTTCTCTCATTCATTCCACTTTTTCTTTTCTTTTGCAAGAACATCTTCGAGACAATCTCTCTGTATGGTTTTTATTATTATTTTTATTATTATTATTAATATTATTATTACTAGTTTTATTATTAGTATTATTACCATTATTATTATTATTATTATTATTATTATTATTTATTATTAATGGTCACTTTTTTGATCGACGTGCAAGTTAGGCACAACAAACGGATCCTTAAAAGTGAACAGGAGTATGATACGTTCCTTTTTCTTCTTCATTACCACCTTCTTCTTTTTCTTCTTTTTCTTCTTCTCTTTTTTATCTTATTTTATTTTATATCTTTTGCGTTGGCTTCTCTCACTATCGGAGAAATTCCTAACTGTAAAAAACTACTTAGCACGGATTGGTCTTAAAAGTAAAATCACATATCCTCGCGGATTAAATGAGTGCTCTTTTATGTAATTCGTGTATGTGTGTATGTTCGTAACTGTATATACGTTATATATATATATTTATGTGTAGCACTGGTCATGTAAAAGTAAAATCACATTATTTTTCACGCGTTATGTATATATGTATGTATTATATATACAAAGTAGCCCGCATCCGTGTCACACTTAACGAGTCATTTTTTGTTCTCATTCATTTCCTCTTTCTCTTTCTCTTATTTTTCAATTTAACGAATACAATAAAATATAAACATTATTATGGAATAGGCCCAAAAGTTTCTAAGTTAAACAAATATTTTTGAAAATGATATTAAAAATCAATTGCGATTAAGTTTGTAATTTTTTTTAAATTACACTTGCAGTTTTATCATTTGAAAACAAATTAGACTACAAAGTGTTAGAAAAACAAAGAAATAAATTTTATATGAAATAAGCTTACCGATTATAATTAGGCTTATTATGATTTTACAAGCTGTGTGTTCTATAATTTTACAATTGGGAATACAACAAAATTAGCATAGAAAATTACGAAACGGTATAATGGATTTTTAATATCATCTAAGAATTTTTGGATCATATTGTATATTCTTTTGAAATTTCTGAATTAGGCGTTTCTTTTTATAAATCCATATGTGTATATGTGTGTATGTGTGAGCGTATATATACATGTTTTTTCTTTTTCTCTTTCACATACATATAAATAAGTAGAAAAGAGAAAGAGAAAAAGAGAGAGAGAGAGAGAGAGAAAGAAAGAGAGAGAGTAACGATCGCAGCACAATTTATGTGCTTTTTTACGAACAGCGAAGAAAAAAAACACACAACAAACGTTGAACGTTGAACGAAATCATTATATTTAGCTTTTAAGAAAACTAAATTTATTTGCAAACGTGATTCGTTTTTCTACACGAATGACGTTTCTCGTAAATCGTCCGAATTTGGAAGCACACGCGAAATATATAAGAGTAATATAATTATTTAAAAAAAGTAAAATTAATTTTTAAAAAATAATTATTAACAGCACCGTATAAATAAGGCGGTAAATTGTTTATGTAAATAT